CCTTACTTAGCTTGCCTGGGAAGGTTTGCTGGATATCGCAGCTTAAACAGCGAGTTCAAACTTACCTATCTCCTAACCATGTCCCTATTGTAGCTATTCCCGCTGTTGTATTGTAGGAATAGTACTGTATTGTACATACCGACCTACCTATCAACCACTGTACCTAACTACCGGAAGACGCTTACAAGCTGCCAGGCTGCACCCGTCGCCGTCTCCATTCAGGCACTTTTAGGTCACTTTTAGGTTGTCAAGCTTATCCACCACGCCAACACTGACCTACAACCTGGACCTGCAACTTACACCTGCACCACAGCGTCAGTGACCGATCCTGACCCCACACACAAAGACTTGGTAGGCGGTACAATATCAACGACACGTCTTGATCGGACCTACCTCATCATCAGTGTCACCACCACTCAGCTTCCTAACCGACAATTACATTTCTCGAATGCCACCTGACCTTACTGGATCTACATTACGACGGGATTTCAGTCTACACCTGGATGCGACGCTACAGGCAATCACTGGATGCCATCAGTACCACTAATCAATCAGCCTTGGGACGTTTAGGTACACGCGATCCATCGCAACATCCCATAGTTTGACCCGCCTTTATTGTCATTCTTGCGTTACTTGTCTCGGGACAGTTGACTGAGCCGAACTGAAAGACGTCGACGATAGCGATAGCAACAGCGTCAACGACAGCGACAGCGACAGCAACAGCAACAGCCACTACACAAACGAGAACGCAAACGCAACCGAAAACGAAATCTAAAACGGACCGATGTGTACACGTGCCGACGTGATAATCGTGGTCCCCCAGTCTCTGACGACCGATCACAACGTCTGACCAGCCACGTACCGTCCTCTGCTCTTTCGCAATTTACGTTACATCGGGTGTGTAGGCGGGCGGCGGCCAACATAGGAGCGACGCGATCATGGCTCCCGTCATATCCAGTACTGTGCCTACGCCGGCACACAAACTCAAACGTCCAACACCTGCTGGCATTCAGACGAATGGAGCACATGCTACTCCCGCCTCCAAATCTTCACCGTCTCCATCCATGTCGTCTAAGAAACCCCCGTCGGCTGTCGCTAAACAGCAGACACCTACCTCCGCTACCGCCAATGGCGTCAACGGCAGCGGTGCTACCCGCACCAACCTGGCTCGGGCACGACGCGACATGGCTAACCAGAACGTCGGTCGAGGTCAAAAAAACAATGCCGGATCTTCAGGGTCGGCCGGCTTAGCTGTAGATGCCAGTGTTCCGCAAAGCGTTGAACCGCGACAAGCTAGTAAGTAGTAGCCAGCATCAAGCCTCGCCAATCCTCTGATATTGCAGTGCGCTTACCCATGACCTTTTTTGTCAGAGGTTACCACCCAGTACATACTCAGGAAATATGCCGGACACCCGCCATCCTTAATCGTACATCTTCATCCCACCCATTTTAGATTCGATAAGCAAGACGGTATCTTTCAGTACAAGTCGCCCATGAAGATCTTTTTGGAGCACCTTAAAGCTCGAACGATTCCGCATGACCTGATACCGTACTTCAACGACTGGGACGTCACCTTTTATGAAGGTTGCTTGATCGTTCAGGTACATGATCACAAATCAGCCGTCCAGGCCAAAGAGAAAGACAAGGCGCGGCCCACGTCCAAGTCAAGTGCCAGCACGCCATCTTCTATCCACAACTATAACCCTTATATCACCCCTTCTCCGTACGGGCCTTACCCGAAGACCAATCTCGCTGGAGCCACGAATACCGAGGCGAAGGCTACTGATGGCGAGGCGCAGGATAAAGAGAACATGCCGGCGCCATCTGCGCCCTCCGAAGAGCAGAAAAGCAAACCGGCACCGCAAAAAGATAAGACATTTACCTGTGTTTTATTTCCGACCCCACAAACATTGCAAATGGAACTGGGCATCAAAGCGACAACGCTTGGGGGTGCTACTGATGCCAAACTCGGCGCGGACTCGTCCATGAACCCCCCAGCAACTCCCCTATCTGCCGTTCCTCCAACGCCTACCGGCACGAGCATGCTGCCGCCTGCGAAGAAGCAGAAACGTGAAAAACTGGAGCTGGATGCAAATGCCATGCGTGTTGCAGAGGCCCAGATTTTGCTTGCTACTGCCGGCCCATTGCATCTGGAGCCGACCAGGAACAAGGAAGAAACGATCGCGCTTCTTGCACAGATGGCGGATCCGAAACACTCGGACCCTGCGCCCCAACCGAAGACCCGGAAACGAACCGTTGCTGAAAGGGCGGCGGACGAGGCGGCAGCAGCCGATCAGGAGAGATATATGTTGACCTATGATGAACGCCTCTCGAATACGAGCGGCGTGCAGGGTGGGGCCGACGGGGGCGATGATCGGACCGGAGCCGCGACCTTTGAGCCGCGGTTTGAAAGGTTCAAGGTCCTTGCCGATATCAAGAGAGAGCATGCCGAGAAGAAAGAACAGGAGAGACTCCGCCAGCAGGAGAACGAGCGCAAACTTGCTTTGCAGAAACAGCAGCAGCACCAAGAGCAGCAACAACTGCAGCAGCAACAACTACAGCAGCAACAACTACAGCAGCAGCAGCAGCAGCAGCAACAACAGCAGCAACAGCAACAACAACAACGCCAACAAGCAGAAGAAAAGGCCCGCCGCGAGCAAGAAGCCGCACGGCAGCAGGCTCAATTGCGCCAACAGCAGCAGCAGCAGCATCAAGAAAATCAACGCCGCCTGGCGGCTCAAGCCCAAGCCCAGCAAGCCCAGGCCCAAGCCCAGGCTCAAGCCCAGGCAGCTGCCCAGGCCCAGGCGGCTGCTGCCCACTCCCACTCACCCCCCAATTTGCAGGGCAACCAGATGCAGGGCCCCCATGGTCACCCAGGTCCGAATGGAATGCCGAACGTCTCCATGCCGGGCCAGCCTGCCCACCGATTCCCGCAACAAGTATCACAGCCGCCCGTCTCATCGCCTGTGCCACGGCAGAACACACCGTTGAATATGTCCTCGCCAATGGTTGGAAATGTGCCAATGCAACAGACGAATTCGGGTATGGGTGGAAGTCCAGCAAGGCCCCCCTCGGTAGCTCAGAACCACGGCCCCATGTCTGTGCCCATGACGGCAAGCATGTCTGCAAGAGGGAGCCAGCAGAGCCATCCTTCTGGTACACCGCGCATGCCGAGCGCCACACCACAGATGGCCCACGGTACTCCAATCAGTCGGCCAATGGCTACGCCTCGAATGACGCAAGCGAGCCCGCCTCCAGGAATGATGGCCAGCAATTCACAAATGGGCCAGAATATGCTGATGGGCCATCAAAATATGGGCCAAAATATACCAAATCATCAGATGATGGCAGCCCAGTTGGCAGCACAACAGCAGCGCCAGCGCATTGCTCATCAGCAACAGTTGCAAGCATTACAAAGCGCTGGTATGATGAACGGACAAAACCCGCAAATGCCAAACCAGCAGCAAATGCTTCAGCAAATGATGCAACGGCAGCAGATGCTAAGCAACATGCAGAACAATCCTAACATGATGAATCCTGTCCAACAAGCTCAGCTTGCCCAGCGGTACCAGCAACACATTAACAACTTGCAACAGCAGCAGCAGCAGCAGCAACAGCAGCAGCAGATGCAGGGGCAGATGCAAGGCCAGATGGCGGGTCAGCAAATGGGAAGTCCTGCCTTCATGGGTGTTAATGGACTCAACCCTCAACAAATGGCAGCGCTCCAGCATATGCAACAAAGCGGCAGTCCTCAAGCAGCACCACATCCCTTACGCGTGCAGATACAGCAACGCCAGCAAATACTGTACCGGCAGCACATCCAGGGGATCGCTGCCAAGTACGGCGGCGTCCAGAACATACCGCCTGACGTTCACGAAAGCTTTAGGAGGCAGTGCCTACAACGGGCGCAGGAGACAGTACGGGCAATCATGGCGCAGCAGCAGAACCAGATGCTACAGCAGCAACAACAACAACAACAGCAGCAGCAGCAGCAGCAGCAACAGCAGCAGCAACAAGGCAATATGCAAAACATGCAGGGCATACAAGGGATGCAGGGGATGCAGGGGATGCAAAACATGCAGAATATGCAGAACATGGGTGGTATGCAAGGCATGTAGGAGTGTGCCCTTGATACCACTGACCTTTAGACCCTTAGCCCTTGGAGAAAACCCAAGAGAAAATGTAGAGAAGGAAGAGAAGACGAACGCAGAAGATAGAAGGAAGCACTCCGTGCTTGATCTTAATTGGGCTCGGAACGGCGAGACTCGGAAAATCCATCATTAGGCTGGCGTTCTGGATGGGATGGATTGCGGCGTACAGTGATTGATTAGCGAACGGGAACGAACAAACGCATGCATGCATAACTAACTCAGCTGTCTTCCCGACCAGGAGGATTATCACGGTTCCTGAGGGCGGGCTGGTCAACTGGCAGACCGACCAGCCGACTATTCTGTTTTACTCTTGCTTCCATATACCCCAATTTCTTCATGGGTTTCGCTATGCTATCGGGGCGCAGTGGTGGGCTTCTAGGTTATCAGGATAGGCGCTTAGTAGATACGTTGTTACTATTATATTGAATCATCCAAGTGGCATTTCAGCAGCCATCATAGCTTTTCGCGATGCATTCTCTTTCTCGCTGGTTACGTCTATCAGATAGGCCGATGTTAGGTTATGCCCATTGCTTCGTGTCGTGAACATAACCAGAAGCTCCTTTATAAGAATGGAAACTTTAGGCAGCCTCACTTTCATCTTTGCAAATCAGCCCCGGGAATATTTTCACGTAGATACATATTCATATATGTCGATAGGCACTTCGTATATTGCCAGTACCTACGTAGTATATGGCACCCTGAAAAGGGGGTTTGATCACGTGCTACCTAGGTATCCCTAACAGTTGGCTGTTATGTAATGAAGCCAGCTGGCGCACTTGAGCGCGCTATATAGGAATTGATAACACGAAAATTTTCAGCCTGGTTCAATCAGACCAATCAATCAATCAAGCCCGGCTGGCCTAATGGTAAGGCATCAGACTTCTACGATTTAATGTTGAATTCGTCGTCGACATCTGAGGATTGTGGGTTCGATCCCCACGTCGGGTGAAATTCCTTTTTTTTTCTTCTTCTTTTCTTCCAGGTTTCCCTTAGGTCCTTTCCGGCTGCTTCCCTATACCTCATACACGTATAACATGTAGGTATACTGGAGTAACTACCTAGGTAGGTAGACTACACACCTGCAGGTAATAGGTACGGTACCTGGTACCTACCTAGGTACCTAGGTAGGTCGGCAGGTATGACATCGACGTATTATTATGGAGACTCTTATTATGTAACAAGTTATGTACGTAAGGTCTCTACTACCTCCCACCTACATGTAGGCAGCTTAAAACCAGCTGAATTGACATGTAACGGCCTTGACGGCAGCTTTGGCACCTATATTTTATTTACATTCATACTCACGAAAGCATAATAGGCAATATAACAAATAACAGTCGAAGCTACCTGGAGATCTAGTGGTTGGTCTACATCTCCATTATTGTGCAGTGCATTTACCTAATCCGCAGTGAACACGGAGAGGGCAGTCCTTATTGACAGTCCTTATTTGGCAGGACCCGGACACATGAGCTTCTGCTTCCCGACAGCTGACCCCAGTGCTGATTGCTGAGTGCTGAGTGCTGAGTGCTGAGTGCTGAGTGCTGAGTGCTGAGTGCTGAGTGCTGAGTGCTGAGTGCCGAGTACTGGATACTGAGAGCTAGGTAGTCAAGTTAGGTGCTACTCGTAAGTGCTCGGTGCTGTTCCTCCTTCCCTCACGTCAACGTTATAGTTAAAAGACCGCGCTGCCCTTGCCTTTTGCCCACATAGCCGATAGCCAAGGTTGCACCCGTGTTTTAACTTTTGACCATAGCTTAACTATAGCACCGATCACTATTGATTTACCTCGTTATTGAACTGAACCGAGCCTGACTGCGCCTTATTATGTGCTCACGCGACGACAACAGCAACCGAGCGAACACTTGATCTGCCTATCGCAGTGATAATCCACCACTATCATCGTCATCAGTCCACGAACCGATCCGTGCGTCTACATACGGGACAGGGACGGGGACAGAAATAGACTTGAGCCGCCGTTCAACCATCGGATTTTGCTTTGCTTCTTCTGAAGTCTCCCCCATTTCCGACCTTCCACCTCCCTCCCGCTCTCCGGCGAAACGGGCAACACCGCACGACGCACCACACACGAACCCTACCATCCCTCCCATACCATACCACATTATGAAGCTCACATCGATAACGTCCGCCGCCGGCGGAGATGCCGGCCTTCTCCTCTCGCTACTGCTGCTCGTGCCCCAGCAAGCCGCCGCCATGTTCCGGTGCAACCACATCGTGGCCGACACGCAGCGGTACAACCTGGAGGCATTGGGCGGCGCCCACGGCGTCGTGATCAGCAAGGACGAGGGCGCCAGCTACCTGAACACCACGTACACGGTCGACATTTGCCGGTCGCTGAAGAAGAAGGGCGACGTGCCCAAGAACCAGCAGTGCCCTAACGGGTCTAGAGGTACGTGTGGTTTTGCTTTGGGCTCGGAGGTGGGAAGCAATATTACCTGTATCGGTCTAGCCATATTTCTTCTCACCCATCTCGCATCAAGTGGCTTAGGCTGTTCACAGTGCACGTGCGTGCGTGCGTGCGTGCGTGCGTACATGTATGCTAATCTATCGATACGAACCAAACAGTCTGCGCCATCCAGCGCACCGTGGGCAAGGACGAGAACAACCCGGGCGACGTCATCCTGAAGGCGTTCCCCATCGCCGGCGAGCTCGCCGATTACGGGGGCAAGAGCCTGGACCCCGAGGTCACGAGGCTAAGTCCGGAGGACCTGCCAGGCGTAGAGGACAGCCAGGGGGGCCTACGAGTGGTCCTGAAGGGTGGCTTCGACGAGAAGCCCGAGCACGGCGGCAAGCGCGAGCAGAAGGCTATCATCACGTTCGTGTGCGACCCCGCCCGCGACGGCACCGAGGGCGAGTTCAACCCCGAGGACCAGTACGACGACGGCGACGACCCGATCGGTGATGAAGAGGAAGAGGGCGGGAGCTCGGTCGACACCAGTATGGTCTCGAGGCGCAACGCGATGAGCAACCCGCTGTTCTACAGAGGAGAACGGAGTGCAGAAGATGGGGGCGACGGCGGGGAGGGCAACGGGGATGATGGCGCCGAGAAACCGGCTGGCGAGATTCAGTTGGGCGACGGCAAGAATGCCAGTCTGGTCTTTGATAGCTGGGGCGCCTCGGACGAGAACCCCAACGTGGATGTCTTGCGTCTGACTTGGCGCACCAAGTACGCTTGCGAAGGGCGCGCCGACGAAGGCGGGGATGAGTCGGCGAGTGCACATTGGGGGTTCTTCACTTGGCTTGTGATCCTGTGAGTTGACTTGATTATGACACTTAGTCGCCCTATTCCCACTCCTGTCTATCATGAGACAGAACACATGACTAACAACATCTTCCTACCCTCCGCAGCGTCTTCCTCGGCACGGCATCCTACCTCATCTTCGGGTCCTGGCTCAACTACAATCGCTACGGAGCTCGCGGCTGGGACCTGCTACCCCACGGCGACACCATCCGCGACATCCCCTACCTGATGAAGGACTGGACGCGGCGGGTGCTGAACACGGTTCAGGGGAGCGGCAGCCGGGGCGGATACAGTGCTGTGTGATGCGGCGCAGTATGATGGTCTGGTCTGGCAGGAGGGGGCACACGCAATATGCTCCCTGGCCGTGTCCGAATAGAGCGGTGTGAAGAGACCAACCCTCTTTACTACGTGCGACTACCCACGCGCAAAGATAGTGTTTGGATGCGGCAAGGCAGCTGCGGTTGCAGGAAGCATCCAACGGCGGAGGACGGTTGGACGTGCGGAGGGCGAATTGTCACCCTATGCGTCACGTCACATTACGTTACGTAACAGCAGCTTCGTTGTGTGTGTGGTTCCAGAGGCTCTTGTGTTTCTATTCGAAGAGCGTCCACGCAGTTTCCAGAGTCCTCGGGGTGTTTGGTGATTTGACTGGGGAAGGTGGGAGGGGAAAGGGGGGTTCCGGCCTGTTTTGTTATCAATTTGTTGTCCCCCGTATCCCTCTTTGATCGTTTGTTGCCGGTTTCGCCGCGTCTTGTCTTTCACCTGTACTGTACACATAGCATACATAGAGCAAGGAGCGAGTGAGGGTTGGGCGATGGTGACGATGGGAATCCCGGCGGGAAAGGAGGAGAGACTTCGAAATCGAAATTACACCCAGTTCTTGCTTAGGAAATGAAGGGGCAATTCTTTTTTCTCTGGTTCGGTGGGTGGTGATGTGATGCTATCAATCCGTTTGAGGCTGCGTTTGCCGACTTGTGCCACTGATGGGCGCCTAGGTATGTGCGTCGAACTATGAGAGGGGAAGGTACTAAGCCGCTGGTGAGATGTAGAATTTTTTGTCTTTTCGGACTTGTTATTGACGGGATAGGAGGAGGCTGTTGCGATGACTCGCAGTGCTAGCTACCACTCCTCAAGTTAAAAGGGGGGCTTGTAACCCCTAATCCCCCTACTCCTCCGTCAATATCACGGCGAGGGGGGGATAATCAGACTCGGCATTGCTACGTGCTCTTCCATGCTAAGTACCACTGAAGCTCATCGAAGTCGTCTACTCATACTATGTGAGACCCTGGAACCAGAGACTTTCTTTATCTTGCTGATCTCCACCTAATACCATACCATACGTCATCTCCGGCTCGCTATCCCCACAGCGGCGCAGCCCCGGCTGCTCGCCCGGTTCCCCTCCGTTGGAGTTGACGGGTTGAAGATCCGTCTCCGTAAGTAGATATAACTTTAACCCAACAACAGGGACCAGAGCGCCCCCTCCCGCATCTGGAAACACCCCGAGCGGTGTTGCGATACTTGACAGTGAATCTGTCGGGCGGGTAGTCGTCCCCCCCAGGCCAAGGTCCCCGCGGACTGGAGACGTGGCGCCGGTGTGCTGGCATCAGGACTTCTGCCTGTGGCGCATTATTGTGAACCCTGGTACGAATCCAATGTGTTGGAGCAAGGTATAAGTTTTGACAAGGACTATTGATACGGCCACTGTCTCTATGGGGCCTTCCGAAACCGCCCTGGATGACTCACAGGCATCCCCCCGACGAAGGGCGTTAATAGCCTGAAGTGTTGATATAGATCTGCATAGTTCAAAGCACTCGAATTGGCGTGAACAAAAGAATCGTTTACAAGATCATTCTCTCTTTTTCTATACTAGCCTTCGGGGCTATACCCCTGCATATGTCGCTTCCAGATCCAGTTGCCCATAGCATGAGAAGCCTTTATGCTGGTGAACATTGATTTTGCCATGATTAGCTTGCTCTGTATACGGGACAGAGAAGTAATAAAGTTAGGACGAACAACAAGATCCCGGCGCTGGTGTTTACGAGCTTGAGTAAGGACACGCAAATGAACAAGCCGACTACCACTTAATTTTTTACCATGACCACCATCAGTCAATAAACTATGGTAGCCGGAAGCTTACCCCTAAATGCACTTAATTTCACCAAGCGAGTAGTGCGCTTCGAAACTACTTCGGATTTCTGCTCTCGACCCATCACTACAGGGACCTCGAAGCAGTACATCCAGCGGCTCGCACTTGTGAATTCCCGGGCATCGGTATCTGCTCCTCTAACCATCGCCTTCGAGGGCGAAAAGCTCAAACCGCCCGAGACCATAGAATCACTCGGCCCCGAAGGGCTGAGACAGATCCTCTACGACGGCTCGGTGGCCCGCCTTACTGCCAAAGTCTCCAACGGCGCTTTCATCGCCGAGGCCGGCGACTTCGCCGCTGCCGCCTGCTGGGAGCCGGAGAGCATACGCGAGGGGCCGCGGGCGGATATGAGCCCCGAGCTTGCCGCCAAAGCGACGCGGCCCATCTTTGCCGAATTCACCGAGCGCGTGGAGGTCGTCAAGCAGGCGCGGCTGCGGCCCGTGGCCGAAAGGATGAGCCAGGGCCGGTTCTGGCACCTCAACATGCTGGCGAGAGATCCCGGCGTGCCCTACGTCCAGGGCGCGGTGAGGGCGGTGCTGGTGCCGT